CACCCAACACCAGCCAACACCAGCCAACACCAGCCCACACCACCAACACCAGCCAGCACCAGCCAACACCAGCCAACACTAGCCAACACCACCACTACACAACACCACCTAACACCACCAACACCATACAACACCACCCAACACCAGCCAGCACCAGCCAACACCACCCAACACCACCCACACCACCCAACACCACACAACACCACCCAACACCAGCCAGCACCAGCCAACACCAGCCAACACCANCATATATAAAAAAATTATTTTAAGACATTTTAAGATGTTTTATCAAGATATTTTCTGTCTCTTATACACATCTAGATGTGTATAAGAGACAGTAATTACATTGTTCGATGCATCATTAATTTAACAATTTTGTTCGAAAAATAAATAAGATAATCTCAGTGAACTGAAAAATTGTCCAAAAGAACGCTAATTAACTATCAAGAAAAATAATTAAACTAATTATACACGTAGGATCTGTCTCTTATACACATCTAGATGTGTATAAGAGACAGACACCACACAACACCACACAACACAACAACATCACCCCACAACACCACACAACACCACACAACACAACAACATCACCCCACAACACCACACAACACCACACAACACCACCCAACACCCCACAACACCCACAACACCACCCATCACACCACAACACCACACAACACAATAACATCACACCAGTGCAGTGTCGGCTGGCTATGTCGTGGCTGCGGTGAAAGTGATGAGCAGCGAAGTATAACGCAGCAGCACTTGCAGCGCCTGCCATGAAATGTTGAGTAACATTCATCATCAATTGTGCTCATTATCTTCACAATGTTCTATTGTTGGGCGTGTTGCCTAACTGATCATACCGTCGCACAGAAATGGCTGTATAAATGTATACAGACATTTCTGTATAAATGTCTGTATATAAATGTATAGATGTCGATATCATGGCAATGTATAAATGGTAATCATTTATCATTATAATTAATGATGATCATTTATCATTATAATTAATGATCATCATTTTCAATAACATCCAGTGATATGATCTCGCTCCTAAACCACAATTTGTCCTGATTGAATTATTCAATTAGATGCTTTTACTGGCAGCCATTTATAATATTGTGCTAGAACGTTATATTATCCGTGAGACTTACGTAATTTTTCCATGGATGCTACTCATGTCCAAGATTTTAATTATGATTAAATTTTCTATCAGTGAAATTCCAGAATTTGAAAATAATATTCGTTCAATAGAAGTTGAATGCGTTTTATAGACCTATTATAAAAAATAAATGTAATTTGATGGTCTGTCAGCAAGTAACACGAAAACATTTTCTGATTACAAATTACATTTAACAGAGGCCAGAATTCATATTTTTCCTTGAAATTTAATACTAAAGTATCGATAGTACAGGTATATAAATTCAAATAAATACTTTAAACAAACAATAACTGCTCGCATTCGTTGCTAAGTGCTTGTAATTATTAGCACTTAATAAATAAATTTATTATTTCTACATATAATAATTTATTCATTTCAAAATATGCTAGATTATTACATTGTATATTGTATAATATATAAATATATAATTTATTATTATATTGCATTATTATAGGCCAGAGTGACATTTTCATGTCGCAATATCATTCTGTAATTTTACTTTTAAATTTTTTTACGGAATTTCTTCCGCGGTCGCGAATTTCCCTTTCGCGCGCCGTCGCCTGACGAGCGAACGTCGCCTGAAGTTAGGACGTTGTGATGCACGTCGTGGGGTGAAGATGGTGAAGATGGTGAAGATGGTGCAAATGGTGCAGATGGTGTTGATGGTGCAAATGATCGAGAGGGTGCAGTTATATTGTTGTTTAAAATAATCGTCTTTAAATGACATAGGTTTTCATTGCTACAGGCGGTGTAAGCAGTGCAGTTTAATGACCGAATGACAGTTCTGACAAAAGTTCAATCGATACCATGTTGCTTTTGGCGCATTAAAAAAAAAGGTAATAATAAAAAAGTAATATATGAACTTTTCAACTACAGTTATAGTTGAAACAGTTTTTTCTACAGTTATAGAGTTATTGAGTTATTGAGTTATAGAGTTATTGAGTTATTGAGTTATTGAGTTATTGAGTTACTGAGTTATAGAGTTATTGAGTTATAGAGTTATAGAGTTATTGAGTTATTGAGTTATTGAGTTATTCGTTGCTAGATTGAGCAAAAGAAGCAGGTTGCAGTAAGAACAAGCGACTGTTGAATGAATAGCAGGCGTTGCAGGAAGCACCGTTCATGTGCGTGCTTTGGTTCGAAAAAAAAACTTGTGCATTTTGTATTCAAAACAAAAGAGATGAAAAAATACTGGCTGTAATAAATGCAACGCTTGCTGTAAAATAATGAAAAATTAAGTAAATTAATGAAAAGATATGTTAGATAGATATCATGCACCGGGAATAAAGCACAGACATTCGATAACAGTTTTGAAAATACTAGTAATAAATGTTGGGCTGTATTTATTTTCAGACTCAATCGCAGCAGATTTCAGGAAAATCAATAAATTATAATAATTACAATCACAGCAGAACGATACTAGCAATTCCATCCAGTTTACAGCAGCAGTACAGCGCGCATTACTTCAACTGGAAAGCAACATCAGAAGCCAAATTTTACCACCATTTTTATACAGTAGCAAATTAATCCCAGCAACACTAAAATACCCTACGAAGCATAACTAGCATTACTGTTCCATTCAAATGGACAGTAGAGCAAAAACCGCAATACAATACAATTGATATTACCTGCAAAACAATAACAGCAATATGGCTGTAATATAAACGATACTTGAAACAACAACAGTATCGTTAAAATCAGAAGAAAAATAGCGCAACAATTCGTACATTTCTAATAGAATCAACAGAGCCCAAAATAAAATTGAACAGCTCTATTCAAATCAATATTAAAATAACAACAAAAATATATCATATATGTTCTAAAAACAGCAACATTAGAATAACACAACAAAAATCAGCTCTCGCTCAGTCAGAGCTGGTCAGAATGTCTCTTGATCGCTTTCATTCAGTCAGAGCTGGTCAGAGAGTCTCTTGCACGCTCTCACTCAGTCAGAGCTGGTCACAGTGTCTCTTGATCGCTTTCATTCAGTCAGAGCTGGTCACAGTGTCTCTTGATCGCTCTCATTCAGTCAGAGCTGGTCACAGTGTCTCATGGTCAGAATGTCTCTTGCACGCTCTCACTCAGTCAGAGCTGGTCAGAATGTCTCTGGCTCGCTCTCGTTCTCTCTCGTCTGTAGGCTCACAGTCACGCTCTAGTTTCTGACCATCGGCAGCCAGCCTCTGCAATGCTGAGAAAACGTTAACAAGCTCAGCAATTGAAAACTCATGACTTTCTTCTTCGTTTGACCAATCATTTCCCAGTCACAGTTTCATAATTTCTCGATTACATCGCGATGAAAGGCATAGCAAAAAGTGAAGTTTTAGATTGTACCGGAATTGTTTCTTTCATTTGCATGCACGTGGCTGGAGAAATCTTAAAATATACTCTGAGAATCATTCCTTCAGTAATTTTACTTCACTTATAGTACGTTGGAACGGCTATTCTTTTATTAATTGTGGTCATGCATTCTAGAATTTCAACAAGTATGTTTCTTTAAAACGTAACAAACATCATATACATCATGAAATTTTCCAGCCTTACTTGTTAGAACAATTATACGTACAGATTATAGTCCATGCATGTACTTTGCTGCAGGAATGCAATAAATGAACCAAGTGACTTGAGAATAATTACTGGCATGATGTGAGTTTAATTCGGTTCATCAGCATGGAGACATGCGCTATTTGATCTGTAAAAGCAGTTCGAGCATGTCATGCAAAAGTGCTTGTGAGCGCCTGCAGTTCGAGAGTTATGAAAAAGTGCGTGTGAAGTTCTGCAGTTTGTAAAGGTCTTTAGTTACAGTTTGTCAAATAAATTTGCTTGTGAGGTCCTGCAATTCGAGTGAGTCTTTCAGAAGTTTTTGTGAACTACTGCAGTTTGAATGTGTCTTACAAAAATGCTTGTGAGGTAAGGCAAAACTTCAACCCAAGGAAAACTGTGCTGCGGCTCTGGTAAGTACCGACAAACTCACCGCAAACTCTCGATCTGTTCAGGCGCTTTGATAGAAAGTGCAATCAAGTTGATGTGTTTAATCGAACAACATCTGAGGAGGCTTTCTGATTTGCAACGCTGCATGGACGCGGTTCTGAACTCACGGTTAAATGGAATCCTATTCGCAGGAATGACTTAGTTTCGCAATTAATGGTCGAAAGCAGTTTGAATGCAAGTTCATATAATTGATTAAGCTCATAGTTTCATTGAAGGCCATTCGATTGCAAGCATCGGATAGTGAACGTCGGATAATAGTATTTTCTTTGCCACGCTGTCAATATTACAAATGATATCATTCAATTTCGTTGATAATGTGAGAATATAGACATAGAAAGGATACCAGTCGAGTAAAAGCTCATAAGATGCATGTCATCTTAATTTTATTCTCAGTCAGAAGATCGGAATAAATCGACTTCGACTTCATTCTTACTATTTCCAAAATTAAACACAAGTTTTAGAATGCGTCTAATTCTAAATAATTATTTAAGATACCGAATGCGATTCAAATTAAATGAGTACATTTTATGTTATTATTTCAGATTTTGTAGACGATTCAAATTTAGTGCATATATTTAAAAAATGTCATTATTTCAGATCCCTTTGGCGATTAAAATTTCTTGCGTAAATTAAATATCATTATCTAACATTCTGAGAACGATCCCAATTGTATGTATACATTATTTATCATTATTTCAGATTCCGTAGACGATTCATATTAAATGCGTATATTTAATTTTATTATTTGGGATACCGAAGGCGATAAAAGTTAATTAATAAATAAGATATCATTATCTCACATCCTGAGGATGATTCCAATTTAATGTGTACATTATTATTTCAGATACGGAAGACGTGGCAGTGATGGCATCATCGTCGTATGGGTGGCGGAGGATGGCCGCTGTCCTGCTATTCCTTGTCTCTATCCTGCAGCACTGGGAGAGATCCTACGGCCAGAGACCAGCGGACCTACCGCCACACTTAGCCCCCCTTCTGCTGCTGCCTCAGGGGCGTGCCATCGATACTAATACTTATTGTGAGTTGACACAATGTTGTGAGTTGATACGAACCCTTATTGTGAGTTGATATGAACACATATTGTGTATTGTGAGTTGACATAAACATTTATTGTGAGTTGACACAAACGTTGTGAATTGATACGAACACTTATTGTGTGTTGACACAAACACTTATTGTGAGTTGACTCAAACACTTATTGTGAGTTGACTCAAACACTTATTGTGAGTTGGCATAAACACTTATTGTGAGTTGACACAAAACCTTATTGTGAGTTGATGCAAACACTTATTGTGAGTTGAAACAAGCACTTATTGTGAGTTGACATAGAAACGTGTTGTGAGTTGACACAATATTGTTAGTTGACACAAGGACTTATTGTGAGTTGATACAAACACAGTTGACACAATCACTTATTGTAAGTTGACACAATCATTTATAGTAAATCTTCAACGTCAAAAATCCTTAATGCTAAAATCATTATTTCGAAAAAGTCGTTATTATTTAAAGCCGACAATAGTTTTATAAAAACCATATTGAGATAAATTTTTATTTTGTTTGTGGTGCAGTGCTTCGCGAAGGACTCGTGTACGTATTTTATTACGAATCTGAAGCACATACAAAAATCACATTGGTAACGACAGGTTTTAACTGCCGAAACAGAAGGTTTACAAAGAAACGCACTTAAATTCAATAATTAATTTATAGCGTGATCATGTTGCCAACCCAGGTAATAACGTAAAACATCCTAAAATATTTAAAATAATTGTTTACAATAATTGTGTACAATAACTGTTCAAAATAAATGTTTACAATAATTATTTACAATAATCGTTTTTTCAACAATTATTTCTTTGCAATAATTGTTTCTTTTTAATAATAAAAAATAAATGTTTTAATAAATGTTTTAATAATTTCATCGCAATAATTGTTCGCAGATGACGCGAACTCGATCTCAAAAAAGGCATGTCATTCTCGCGGCAAAACCGGCAAATGTATGTTTGTGTGGGAGTGCATTAAAAAAGATGGAGAACATCTCGGCATGTGCATGGAAGGTTTCATGTTCGGTTCCTGTTGTGCCAAGAAAGAGAAAAACCCCGATCTGCAATCAGAAGCCGGCGAGGAAGATTCATCTTTTGCTGGTTCTACTGACCTGAAGCAACTGTCAAAAAATCTGACAACCACTGAACAAACTCTGAGCTCTACGCCATCTATTTTATTAACACCAGAACTTGCAGCAAGTTCAACTGTAGTTAATATATATGGACCCAACTCTCCGCCTAGCACATCTTTTCATTCAGTTGTAAGTGAAGTGCCATCATCATTTGTGATATCAATTACTCAACGGCCGAATACGATCGCTGATTCTACCGAAAAAATTGTCGATGGAGTTTTTGCATCGGAAATGTCAAACAGAAATCCTATCAGATTTCCAACTGAACACTTGCATTCTGGGTCAAACGCGCACGATTTTCCGACTGCGAGCAGCACTACGGAAAGAGGAGAGAAATCCACCGTACCTCACTGGAGTAGACCCCAAGATTCCAGTATAAAACCTCCGGTACCTCCCGCTAGACCAACCAGACCTCCAAAGCCAGTCAAGTAAGACTAACGTCTATTTAGAAGGAATATTAGCAATATATGAATGATCCGGAATTACAGATAACGTATTTTTTCTTAATACGTTTCTTCTAACTTGTTGGCATCATCTCTAAGTCCTTGGATTGGATGGACTCAATTGAGACGACTGCTTGTTTTGCTAACGCTTGATTTTATTTAAAGAACTTATTGTTTTAACGAGATTCTCTTCATTGCAGACCAATTAAAGACCAATGGTGGTATTATCCAGTGAAACCTACCAAGCGACCTCAAACTGATGCTTTCGGTTTGAGTGGCATCAATAATCGACCCTTATCCATCACAGCCGACAAAAGAACAACATATTCTCCAGCAACCACTGCTTCAACCACCACAGAATTATCTACCACAACTCGAGAACATATCACAACTACAGCCCCAACCACAACCACTGAACCAACAACTATAATTTTCCCTTCTACCACAAGTACAACAACTTCGACAACTACTACTTCTACCACCACTTCTACCACCACTGAGGTACCTACAACATTCGAACCAGTCACAGATATTCCTGGGGTATCATCTACTGGACCTCTGGCTTCTGGCAGCCACTCTGATGGAGGTGAGATATAGATTTCAAATTTGTTTATTTTCTGGTAATAATTTACTATCTATTTAATTTACTATAATAATTTACTAAGAAATATTTATCAATTGGAAATCAGAGAGATGTTCTTCCGATGAGTCTTATATTATAATATTGTAATATTGTATTATAATCTTAAATCAACTCACTTGCTGGACGTATAATCGCAGACTACTGAAAATAATTTTCAGTAGTCTGCATTCTTACTTTATAAAAATTAGCTATTAAACTAACACTGGCAAATTCTCATTCAAAGGCAAAGTTCCCCGAGGATGGTAAATAAGTTATCGAATGGGAGTTATTTAATTTATGACAAGCGCTTATGGAAATTACACCCCTCACATATATCGTTTTATTATTAAAAATTAACCAATTTTTCTATCACTCAATGTGATCATTTATTCCACTAATTAGATAAAATCACAAATGAACGAAGAATTTAATTGCAAGCATTAAAATGATTTAAAATAAGTACTCAATGTCTAAATGAACGTTTTAAAGATTTATACGCATTTATTGCTTACTAGAAAGTATTTAGTCTCGGCGGATGAGCAAGAGGCTGTGGCTTTATTAAATGAATCCACGACTTGTGAGCCACAGGAATTGCCCACGTTTTAACTTTCTTCGTGTTCGTATATTTTCTCTTTGCGAATAATTACATTGTTCGATGCATCATTAATTTAACAATTTTGTTCGAAAAATAAATAAGATAATCTCAGTGAACTGAAAAATTGTCCAAAAGAACGCTAATTAACTATCAAGAAAAATAATTAAACTAATTATACACGTAGGATAGAGTATAATGAATCTTCGTATGTAGTGTCTTTTGTAAATTATATATACGTGATCACGTGATCAATAGGCAATTTCTCATGAAAATCGAGAACACAAATTTGCACGGAGTAGAACATGCAATCAGAATGCATTTTCTATTCGTGTTCTTCCGATATTAACAAAAATTTTATTATTATTATGAATAAACGCAATCACTGCATAATCACAGTACTTTCCAAGCTCCTAATTATTATATGTAAATTACTTATAAGTTTATTTTGAAAATCAACAAGGAGTGAGTTTTCATTGACGCTGTCAAGCCTCAGCATTTCCCTAACACGAGAACGAAAGTGAAAGCTTGAAGTCTCGGCATCAACGATAGCTTGTCGCCTTAAACGTGAGCTGCATTGCAATAACTTGGTAATGTCTAGTCCATTAATATCTGTAATCCTTTAATTCATTCTGTAAGCTTATATGTCCACCTCTCTCTCACATGCAGGTTTTCGTTTAAGTATTCACTTCATGTTTGCGGTTAGCTCATTGAATATTGTAGAAAGTATTTTAAAATCTTTAAAATAAAACTTGATTTGCAAACGAATCAATCATTTTATAAGTATCATTGTTTATAAAAAATTATTCCTCTTTTTGCATTTTTTTCAACTCCTTAATACTTTTTTACTGGAATATTGGCTAAATTTTTTAATCAATCTATAAGCAATAAAAATTCTAACATATTTATTTGACAGTCTAGCGTTCGCCGAGACCACTGCGAGCTGTTCATTATAAGCTCAGTTATAATATTTTAGTTATTCTAAAAAAATAAGCGGGTAAAACTTGATTGGAATTTGACTGATCGTAATCACTTTGTATGGCCGTTTAGAAGTTTAGATTAATAACGGGTGACTTCCTTTCCTTGCTCTCAGGTTTGTCATCAACGGAATTAATTATACATTCAAAGAATTAACGATGTATACAACATTCAATATTAGTGGAAATAACATTGATTCCCATTTACTATACTGACCTGACCAAACCATCTGGGTCTAAAATATCATCATGAGCATAAAATAAAAATTAAAATACTTAGGTTTAATTTGAATAATACTTGGTTTTTCGCTAGGCATCTCATTCCAACAATTCATCCGTCAGATACCTTCTCTTCGATATTTCACTAACGGCGCTTATGACCGATTAAAAACATGTTTTTTCGCACAGGTTAATTGCATTCCTGGCTGCTTGAAAGCTCCGAAAGTAGTGAAAGTAATTTTAAAGCTCTGGGTTCTGTATCTTTTATGCAACATGTTAATACTCCTAAGTCCGGGTAACGCCTAGATGCCATACTGTTTTAAATACTTTCATGTTACATGAATGAATGTTGTCGAAATTGAAACGAATTGAAATAAATCTTCTCGCAGCGCTAGAAAACTTGCAAAAAATTTAGTGTTGTTGAAATAAAAATAATGTCCATGATGTGTGTATTATGTATATGATTCTCCATCCATTTTTTACTAACAATATTGCTCATGGCATGTGATTGCTTAGTAACCCGCATCCGTCATGACGACATTTATACTTCACATAAGAGAAGGATAGAATTCAATATTTAGTTCTTCTCTCAGAATAACCAACAATGTTAATCTTATAATGGTGGTTACATTAATTTTTTAAAACGTTTTTTTCGTTGCAAGTGACTTTGAGAGATGAATTTGATCATACTCAAAATTTTTTAAGTGTATGCTCCAAAAAATTCGTTTTCTAACAATACATCTGTAAAAAACTTGCCAATTGTACAGTAACTGAATCATTTTCCATATTCGGACAAAATAATCTGTCCCCGTGCGTTTTCTGAATTTAAAGATGAATACTTTGCTTTGTAATTTGCCAGAAGTGAAATATTTAGCATTTTATTGCGTGTAATATTTATTCAATGATCTTTTACTTACTTCATTAGAACTCGAACCAAGTTTTAAAATAAACGCTGAGATCTGAAAGCCTTATCCTCGAACAAACCTTTTGATGACTCATCTTATAAAAGAAATTTTGATCTAAATTGAGGAGCTAATAATTTGTAATCGTCCACCAAAAATTGCAGTAAAATAAATTATTCTAATCGTTTTATTATCTTTTTTTCGTCATCTTTCATCTATCGGAAGAATTATCTACAGTTCGCCCTAGAAAATTACACATTTACGCCGTAAAGTGAATAGTAATGTAATACAAATATTATTTTACGTAGACTGTGGCATAGCTACGATGGGACCGATGCCCGAGGGGCGAATTGTGAACGGCAGCACATCAGCGTTCGGCAAGTGGCCGTGGCAAGTGTCGGTTCGGCGCATCAGTTTCTTCGGGTTCAGTTCCACTCACCGATGTGGCGGGGCTCTCATCAACAGCAGATGGGTGGCCACGGCGGGGCACTGTGTTGACGAGTGAGTGACGGGGGGTGAATAATGGGTGAAATATTTACCCTTGAAGCTATATGGGAACACGGTGAGACGTTGACATGTGAGTGACTGGGGGTGAATAATGGGTGAAATATTCACCTTTGAAGTTATATGGGAACACGGTGAGACGTTGACATGTGAGTGACTAGAGGTGAACATTGGGCGAAATATTGACCTTTGAAGTTATATGGTTATATGGGAGGCGTCGGTATGTGAGTGACGGGGGGTGAATAACGGGTGAAGTGTTTACCTCTGAAGTTATATAGGAAGACGGTGAGACGTTGACATGTGAGTGACTGGGAATGAATAATGGGTGAAATATTACCTTTGAAGTTATATAGGAAGACGGCGAGGCGTTGACATGTGAGTTAATGGGGATGAATAATGGGTGAAATATTACCTTTGAAGTTATATAGGAAGACGGTGAGTCGTTGACGAGTGAGTGACTGGAGAGTTGTATAGATGAAATATTATTAAGTTATTTGGAAAAGAAAATGAGTTGTTGATGAATGACTGACAAGTGATTTGCTGGGATGAAATATTTTCTATCAAGTCATTTTGGGAATAACGTGAGACGTTGACGAGTGAGTAACTGGAGATTTGTAGTGAAAAACTTTTACTATAATTTTTTTCTGGAAAGAGGTAATGCCGACATGATTGAGTGATTGGAGGTTGGTCACGATGAAATATCAAACAAAAAATTATTTGTTAAGATGGCGTAGCGTCGGCGAGTAGATACCAGATGGTATTGCTTTGTACGGAAAATTTTTTACGTAATGCTACGGAGAAGATTTCAAATGAGGGAGTTTTTTTGTGGTAGGAAACATTAAAAAAATACTTTAAATCGAAAGTCAAAATAATCGACAGTGACGAGAGATACCCGCGAATTAAGGATATGCAATTAAAATGGATGAACCGACCTATAGAAGGAATTTTATGAACACTTAGAAAACATTTAAAACTTATTTCTCTTAATAATACAGAATTGTGAGTTTTCTGGTGCGGTTAACGAAAGTCAATAATAATTTATTGAAGAATGATAATTTTTTGAGACAATTTTCCTCCAAGTCAACTTTACATAATTTTTTACTTAATCTATTTAACTAATATAATGAATGGCAAACGAATATGTTTCTAAATATTTTCTCAAATGATCGTCGTTATTTTAATAATCAAAATTACCAAGTAGGAAATTCATTATTTAATTCATCATTCTTCTCCAGTTTATTAGTGGCTCAAATCAGAGTCCGCGTTGGCGAATACGACTTCAGTTCGGTCTTGGAACCTCATCCTTACGTAGAGCGATCCGTGATACGGAAAGTGGTGCATCCGAAGTACGACTTCTTCACTTACGAGCACGACTTAGCTTTGGTCAAAGTCGAGGAGAAGATCAACTTCGGCATGCATGTCAGTCCCATTTGTCTGCCTGGCAACGATGATCTTCTTATCGGCGAGATGGCAACCGTGACGGGCTGGGGCAGGCTGTCTGAACACGGCACTTTACCGTCGGTGCTGCAAGAGGTGAAAATTCTAGACCAAAGAGATTTATGAAAGCTACTCTCAGAAATTTGAATGGGTCTAGACCAAAGAGATATACGAAAGCTACTCTTTCGTAATATATTTTCCAAATTCATAATATATTTTCTTTTTCGGGGCATATTTTCCAAAACATGACATACTCTCTTATTTACAGCACTAGTACAGGGCTGGAAAAAGTCACTCGTCTTGCTTAGGGTAGATCAAATACATGTGAAAGATCTCAATAAAATCCACACATTGATGCTCAATACTTAAATCGTCAGAGGAGCAGAAATTTCTAACCAAATCCTGAAATGTATTTGTATAGACTCGTGTAACAGATTTTCATAACTGGCATGGAGTCTTAGCCAGTCTTAGCCTTAACAGATTGGCAAGGTTTGTCCACCAATCCCAAATGTTAAATCAACGATCGACGTTTTAATTAATATTCGCTTCAGAACTTTCGAAATCTGTTAATCAGCCCAATTGAATTTTTCATTTTTTTTATTAGATAGATGAATAATGCCGTTCGAAAGATGTGGTAAAAATATTAAGATTCGATTTAGAAAGAACTTTGATTAAGCATATTTGGATTACTGCCGTGCAATGATCACTTCAAATAACAAGAAATAATAATTACGCAATCGCTATATTGTTAATGAGTTATTGTTGTTATTAATATTAATATATTTACCGCGTAAAGGCCTAAATACATGAGTTGTTATTATCAAATAATTTAGCTCTTATTCTATCCGACATCAGCTGTTTTCATTTCACATGCTTTCTTTTTCATTAAGAAAGCATGCTGCATTCATTAATTATTTTGGCAATTAATCGACAACGATATTGTTCTGCTAACACGGAGCACAATAATGCATTGTTGAGAAGCTGGTAAGACAAATTAGAAGAGACTGAATATTGGTTGAGGCAAATATTTTGTTAATAATTTATTTCGCAGGCGTCCGTCCCGATCATGAGCAACGAGAAGTGCCGGCAGTTGTTCATGCGAGGCGGCCGCAAGGAGAGCATTCCTGACATCTTCCTGTGCGCGGGCTACGATGACGGCGGCAGAGACTCTTGTCAGGTGCGTGTTGCTTGTCAATCATCTCTTGTTAAGTGCGTGTTGCTTGTCAATCATCTCTTGTCAAGTGCGCGTTGCTTGCCAAAGGCAGAAGAGACTCTTGGCAGATGCGTGTTGCTTGCCAACGGCAGCAGAGACTCTTGCCAGGTGCGTGTTGCTTGCCAACGGCAGCAGAGACTCTTGTCAGGTGCGTGTTGCTTGCCAACGGCAGCAGACAACAGTGGCAGAGACTCTTGTCAGGTGCGTGAAATCTGTATTATCTTCAGTGCAACTCTTATCTTGGCAATAAAATCTATTACAAAAACAACGATTGCGTAATCAAAGAGTTTGGTCTCAATTTTCACCGATCCTACACATGTCACGTGAGTTTGGTACGCTCTTAACAATTTAATTCTATAACGACATGATTAAAGAAGAATCTAATTGATTGTACCTGGATTAACATAAGATTGAAGAAATCTAATTCCCATATTCACATTCCGTAAAACGAGAATTGCCAATATAATTCATCACGCATTGTTCGTGATGTTCAATGTTTTTATTAGCATTCATTGTATTTCTCCAAAATCATAATTAATTATATAAAAAAATTATGTGTCTTCTCAAAATATAATTATGTCTCTATAATTGTGTCGTACCTTCTCAATCTTCATCACAATTCCCATTCCATCACGTATAACATCACAAAGAATCTAAAAGCAAAGAAAACGCTTAGCAAATTCACCAAATCGATATTGAAGGCATGTATCAATATTTAATTCAATATCGAAATGATGGATTTGTTTGGCGTTTTCTTCGCTTTTAAATTCCCTGTGAACTTGCGATATAAGTAGACTGATAACACAAGTATATGTATAACATATAATATATGGCCTTTCAATATCAGCGAGATCTCCATCTAATCGGTCAATATTCCTGTGAATATTCAATATTCCTCTGAATATTCAATATTCATCTGAATATTCAATATTACTCTGAATATTCTTTATTCCTCTGAATATTCAATATTCCTCTGAATATTCTATATTCCTCTGAATCAGCAAGATCTTCATCTATTCGGTCAATATTCCTCTGAATAATTCATTGATTCGCGTACGTGTTGTCTTCATTTACATGGTATCTTCAAGGAGCGGCAGATTAGCTCGAGATTACATTCTGATCTTTTGATCCTTCTTTGATCTAGCGCGACCTACTGCTCATCATTCATGCAGATCACACAGGAGTCAATACACAGCTTACTGAGTACACTTGATCTGCGCTAGATCGTTTATGCGTGCTAGAAGTTTGCCTATTTCCGAGTGAGAAATTGTGACAACAAAAATACGTGACAACAAGATGGAAGCTACAATTCAATCGCCCGAATTATACGGTTTTAATAAGGTTTAACATGCAAATTGGGATGATACATAACGTAACGAAAAATATACAACGTCCTTCTAAGTTGATTTATTCTTTTGACTGACGATAATTAGTTTTTGACGTTGTTGTAAAAATATGCCTCGATGCAGCAATTTTCTAATCACTGTCAATTATTTCTTATGCTTTGGTCACTTCTAAATGATTGTTCATAATATTTTGCCTATTTTAGCTATTAAAACTTGTACGAAGACAGTATTCACCGCCCCCACAATACTTGTTTCTAATCATGCGTATTGTTCAAAGAACAAATTTTTTTCAATAACATGACGGCTAAAATTACGTCTTTGGCCAAGTTAAAGTCTCTATGGCTAAGTTTGCATTCCAGAGAGTAACTTTCAAATGTTTCTGCGTTTTGTAAATTCTGAAAGTGATAAATTCAAAATAAATGTTTAGTGATTCAATATTTCCACAAATAATCTCTGTCTAATTCTGCGAACGTCAACTATATGTATTGCTGTCTGATGTCGGCAGTTGATCAAAGTGACTTGGATCTGAAATTTTAATTGGACATTGACTGTCGCTCGGGAAAAGATTGAACCGAGCAAAATCTCCCCTGAGAAAACTGTCTGGTTTCTGTGGTCATCGTGTGAAAAGAGTGATTGTAAGTCGCAGCAATTTAAAAGTCTTCGAAATTCAAATTGGATTGCGTGTTGAAAAACAATTCTTTTCTGCGAATAAAATGATTCTTGCTGTGAATAAAGTTTTAGTGAAACATTTTACAGCGTTTAGTCGACGCTTTCAACATTCAATTCAATTTTATTGCTGCGTGGACTTAATATCAGTAAATTTTAATTGAAGGATTTGGTTGTAATTTTAACTCAAATGTCATGACTTTTTAAGACGACTGTAAATTATACGTTATGTCTGACGTCAACTGATCGACTGATCACCCTATGTTTATGTTAACTTTTTTTGCCATAAATGAAAAACAATGAATAACTTAATCTCTATCTCAATATAACGGATCTGAACACAAAGATGGACAAGTTGCTCTTAGCCTTTCAAATAAAATCATTAAATTGTAAACTGTTCAAATAGCATAGAAATCAATGTTATATTTATTTGCCTATTAGTGCAAAATAAGCAAACTGTTAGTGCAGGAGACTTGTCAGCTGCAGCCTCGGTTCCCATGAAGAAGGATTATGTCGAAATTAATAAATAAACTGCATGAAAATTCTGATTCGAGATCCCACTAATAACTGTATCGTAGTAATACGGGTATACAATATATAAAATTCATCAGAATTTCGAATCCAAATTTGAAAAACACAAATTTTAAAAATAGAGTCGTGTGCCAGCTCGAGCCTTAAGAAAATTTATTATACATCAAATTTGTTTATTAATATTATTATATAAAATTACACTTCTTACGTATTAAATCATCTTTTCTAATGAAATTTTTAATGATAAAATTTGTAAATTTACATTTGAATCTCCTTCTAGATGCCCATAACCTTTTTTATTAATAATATTTTCAAAGACTAGAATCATGTGACAGGTTAGGATAGGAGACAATTTCAAATGTAAATTCGTTTTAAGGCAAGAGAGCAAAGATATTATTACTCCTTATATCAGAACCTAAACTCTCATTTGACAATTTAGATATCGTGACAATTTAAGTAATAATCGGACGTGCATTTACTGATACTTAAATTTCCTAAATAGCAGCGTCGCCGCTGAAGAGTCGGCCGAGTTTGGCCTGAGCCTATCGCGTCATTTTTTTTCATGAAAAATGCCGAGAAACAAAATGTGCCTTGATAAGGAAATTCTAGCTGTAACTGATATTGATGATAGGTCCTCCACATAACTAATAAGATGTAACCTAATTACGTAACATATATTATTATATAAGTTACCTACTCACAATGACTCTCACCTTTGCGTGTTCAAGGAGACTTGAGTGGTTCTCTGTATCCTCCATCCTCCACATAACTATTAAGTTTTAACCTAATTACAAAACATATTTTTATAAGTTACCCACTCACAATGGCTGTCTTTTTATGTGCTCAGGGAGACTTGGGTGGTCCTCTGCGTCCTCCACATAACTCTTAAGATTTAACCTAAATACATAACATATTTTTCATCAGTTACCCACTCATAATGACTCTTTTCTTGTGTGCTCAGGGAGACTCGGGTGGTCCCCTGCAAGTGAAGGGGCGGGACGGACGATATTTCCTGGCCGGCATCATCTCTTGGGGCATCGGCTGCGCGGAGGCAAACCTGCCTGGAGTCTGCACCAGGATATCAAAATTTGTGCCTTTCATTCTCAAGACGGTTACCTGATTTGAATTTTCTTAATTTTTCTGCAACAAGTTGCAGAATTTAATATTTTATTAAATTATTTTAATAATATTTCAAAGTTTCAAGTTTTGAAATATTAATAAAAATTTATTTTTAAATTTTATTTTTTATTTATTATTTTTAATTAAATTTAAACAAAATTTAAAATTTTGTTTGAATTGAATTTTTTTCAAAACGCAACCTCCTTCATACTAAGGAGGTTGCGAGGCCCAGCCTCGGAAAATATAATTTTAGATTTCCTGCGACTTGATGCTGAATTTATGGCTTTCATACTAAGGAGGTTTCGTTATGAAGCCTCGGAAAATTTCTTTCAAAATTTGCTGTACTACGGCGAAGAATTTGTGGCTTCAATACTATGAAGGCTTCCTGATGAACCTCGGACAATATAAATTAAAATTTGCTGCAAGATGGTTAAAATTTCTGGCTTTCATACTGATAAGATCGGGATAAAGTCATGGAGAATATCATTTAAAAAGCGTTGCAACCTTATACTGAACGGATCTGAAAGGTTGCAACATAAGGCAGAACTATGGCTGCCAAATCAATAGCAACACAACTGGGGCGCTACGCAAACAATGTTTCGATGTGAAGCAATTTTTGTTCATTCAGCCTCTGAGGAGTATTTAATAATATTTTTCATGTTGGTTATGAGGAGTAAAATCGATTAACTCTGCGTGATGCAGCATTTTCTTTTATATTTACCTGGACGAACTTACAAGTCTTTTCTATATAGTTTCTCACAGTGTAGATATCAAAGAAGTATTATTATTTTATTGTACCGAACAAAATGAATGTAACTATAAACATCATCTTTTTTATACTACTTCTTTATGTAAATAATTGAAGACCTGTTTTAATTAGTGAGTTGTATACATAAATGAGCTGAGAAATATAGGTTCTATAATGTGTAAATAACTCTTGAAATACATCATCATTGTGTCATATGCATAAATAATACGCTGGTTATTTCCAATTCTTTGTTGAATGCATTTAAAAAATATCATCTTAAGCTCTTAAAATAAATAACCATCCTTATCTTTAATCTCTGTGTTAATTACTTTAGCTTGTTACAAAATTTGGCTTCGATTTATAATCGAAGTTCCTCCATGTTTGGCTTCGATTTACAATCCAAATGTAGGTTTATGATGGTCATTTCATCGCTTACAATTATTTTTATTAGACTTTGCTTTTTTATTTGAGGAATCATTTCACCATCGCAATTCTTTCACTAGAAAGGATATTTTTTGATAATTATTCAATGAATACTTATTTCTATCATGCGATTGATTAAATCGCAAATTAACCAAGGATTTAAAAGCAATGGAAATGCCTAAGGGATTTGCTATATCCTCATTGAAAACGTTCCGGAGGCCAGCTCCTTCATCAGTTCAGGAACTTCAGGATTGCAAGTAAATTAAATAGAACGACGAAACATACACAGATGAAAAGATTTTTATATTTTGGGCTGTACTTCGAATGCTACAAATATTTTTTTAGAATTCTTTCATATTCTGAACAAATTATTAAGAAAAATAAACGCCAATAGTTCTAATCTGGTTGAAATTGATCATCAATTTGTTCACACGTTTATCCTTCCGTTTAAACGGCAGTATAGATTTAAATCTCTTCCATATACATTTGGTCCTTCTACTGGTTATCCGTGCGTTCTTGAAGTTTTTGAACTGATGATGGATATGGTCTCCGTAATGTTTATTTTTCAGTTCTGTGTGAATAATTGACGTATTTTTCTTGCCATCGCAAGTGCTGTTAAATATTTTTGATGAATTGCAAAAATTATGGAAGAATTTATTTATCCTTCATGACGTATAATTTGTACTGTCAAAAGGAAGTTTTCGAAGCGATGGAAAATCCAGGCAAAGAAGTCAGCACCGACATGTAGTTATGTTGAGAATTACATTCCAAATCAACTTTAGGTAATAGATTTCAATAGCATAACAAGTTCGGATTGCATACTGTAGAATCTGGTCTGACAAAAACGGAGGACTGTCATAAACGGGAGAAATTCAATGGTTTCGAATTGTCATAAATCAGTTTTAATGGTAGATGTTCTTTTTTTCTTGCACAAGAAGCGACAGAAGAACATATCTGAGCTGCGATTCAAATGAGCCGTAAATTCTGAAAGAATCTCAAAAATCTGTGATGCGTCTCAATTTTATTGCTTTTTCAGGTGCGCTGTAAAATGGGATTTAACATTTTTTCTTATAGCGAAACTTCCGAGGCTGGGTGATTTGGAGCTTTTTGTGTGTGTTTAGAACAGCCTAAATTATCGCCTCTCAATTGCGATTGCAGTTATTGACCTCGTAAAAATAACATGCTGCTGTCTTTCGCTCTCGTTTTGTGATCAGAAGAATTGAACTCGGATATATAATATTTGTCGATACACTCGTTTTAACGAAATGACAAAGATAGAGTTATCGGGACAGGTTTTATATCTCTTGGCATTAAAAGTGAACCCATAAATTCGGCAAAGTAACCATACATCAAAGTTTTTAATCCATTTAAGTTAAATCATGTAAGGACATTTTCCATTGCGGAATGTTTTTAATATTAAATAACCAAATCTCAAGCGTTTTCTACAATCCTCTCCAGTGAAATGGATTCTCTTGTTTGTGCCTAGGGCGCTACTGATATCTGGATAACTTTTTTCGCATCATCCTTAATTTTCTTTTAATGTTGCAAGTTTCGCGAATCCTTCAAGAAGATTAATTAAAGAAGCTCATAAAAGTTAGGGAAAAGTTTGGTTCTGCTATATTGTTGTTCCTGCTTTTGATGAGGTGCAGTGTTGGAAGAAAATGTCTGTGCGCCTGAGTTGATTTTTACGTGTTGAATTGAAACGACAATGCAATGTTGAATTAAAAACTAGAAAGTCTACGTGTATCTTAGCGCGGTATGAAAAAGGCTAGAAAGCCTCCGAGTGTCCTTGCTCTGAATGAGTTAGACTAGAAGGTCTTCGGGTGTTTGAAAACTGAATGAGCGAGGATAAATAGTCGACGATGTTTTAGCACTGAAAAAAATACAGCGAAGTCTACCCAAACCCTGGATGAGATGAGATTATATAGAGTCTACGGGAGTTTAGCAAATAATAAAAAAATTAGATCATTACTCACTGCAGTGAGAGACAGAGAGCGCATTTTCTCGTCCGCCCGTCCGTGAAGTCACGGAGAGACGGACGGACGAACGGACGGACGGACGGACATGACGAGCACAATAGCGCCTATTTTCCATAAATGAGAAAATGCGCTCAAATAAGAAAATGCGCTAAATTGTGCTCTAGCGCAGAAAAAAACGTAAGAACAACAGAAAGAATAAATGTAACTTAGTCCAATATAAGAAAGACTAGAGAGTTTGCCGTGACATAGCCCCAAATGAGAATGACCAGAAATTCTACCTAGTCCTGAAAGAGTTAGACTGGAGAGTTAGCGAAAATCCGAGTAATACAATAAAATCTTATAAGTAAGACCTACGATTAACATTCAAGTTAAAATGTTTTCAGACAAAATTTTCAAGTTTTCAAGTCCAAATTTCTCCACAACTTATTTTAAGCCTTAAATTATCGAAGAAGATCACATCGCCATTATTGAATAACACCGTCCTCATGTCTGGAGTGACGGTCAGCTTCTCAATTCAGCAATGCTCAAGAATTTTCCATGGTTTATCGATATCGAAAAACGATGATAATTTTCTTCGTTATCTCTGGATTAGAGGAAGAAGTTTCATAACACGCCCTGAATTGATTGGATAATATACAGGTTACATTTATCGTACATATTGTTAATAATAAGCTGTCGTGAAGTACATGGTAAGGCGCTTAAATTCGAGTAGGAACATTTTTCACGGTTATTAATCTGCAGTAAATATTTGTTGAAATAATTAATTGACTATTTAGTCCATAAATAATTAATTGGGTTATTTTTAATTATCGATCAAGTTAATTTCGAATTCTGATTCTCTTAATTAATAAAGCCAGTGAAGCGTCAATTAATATCATATGTTAAGGTATACATTTATTATTATTTATGACAGCACGTTCATAAGTTTATAAAATGAGAGTGCCTTTTTTTCTCCCCCTCTCTCAATTCTCTCTCATTCTTCATACTCCTTCCTCCCTCATAGCTTTCGTTGTAAGTGAACGTAACCGAGGTAAGAGGAGTTGATCTACCTCATAAAATCGTATTATTTCTAGTCAGAAAAAGCAGCTACATGATTCTCAGTCGAGCCTCTGCATTTCTCGGGAGGCTCCAGCACAAGTCTTATCTTATGGCAGTCGCTGCCGCCAAAAAGTCGTATAATCCACGAGAACCGTAGCTTGGATACTAGCACGACGAGGGCATTTTTACAACCCCTTACATAGGAAATAAACCCCATGAAAAATCCGGCGTAGTAAAAAGTGCGGAAAAGCTAGCAAGCGGCAACCGATCAGAACAAGCTTCTTTATCTGCAGTGAAAATGGAAGTAAACCTACCCAGCCATATAATATATGGCACTGAGCATAATTCTGGAAGTGGGCTGGTTAAATATATGGATTAAATTCTCATTTTAACTCTAATTTTTAAAGGAGATATGAGTGCCATATATTTTTTTCACCTAATAAAATAAGATCACTTTTTATTTAGATCAGTTAATGACAGCGATACCAATGCTCCAAATCGTCAGCATTGCATTCATGAATATTTGAATAACTCAACTTTCTCTAAGATCAAAATGATGATAATAATGAAAATATGATTAAAAAGGATAATAATAAACTTAATGATGATAAAACACGTTACCAAAAGGTATCATGATGATTTATATTAAAAACCAAAGGATTGGTTCAAATTATAGCTCTCATGGCTACGTACAATAGATGAACGCGTGGGTCGGCTTAATGAAGAAAAAATAGCCGCAGTTCACAGGTTCCGATAGCTGAATCTTGCCATGCAATCGATAACGAGCATCAGTTCATTACGGCTGCAGATCAAGCTACGATACGCACTGATCT